CTATTCCTAAATGTTTTTCATTTAATGAAGCGAAGAAAGCGAAGCGATGAGAGAAAGAGAGAGAGAGAGAGAGAGAGAGAGAAAGAGAGAAAAAGCAAGAGACTGGTAGAGTCGAATCGTCGAAAAAACACGGACGATTCCTCTCTGGAAGTTCGCGCGCGCTTGGAAGTCGAATCCGTTCAAAGAAAGACCGGAGCGGACACGAACGGGAACCTCATTCGGATTAGAACCGTCCAAGGACAACGGAGGAGGATGGGTCTCTTTTTCTTGCCAAGAGACGATATCGGTGGGATAAAGCCGATTGATTTTGTCCCTATAATGGGAATCCGCGAAATGGAGATCCCCCCCGTTCACGTTATTTCGAGAAAATGACTCGTGGATGGATGGTGCCAATCGGTTTTCGCCTCGCGTTTTCTCGTTTTCCCCCGCACACAAAGCCCTGTAACGGTTGTCGCGCGTTATCGCTTCAGTCGATTTCGCTCTTTTATTCTCATTATTGGTTCTATTTCACTTTTATTTCCGGTGTTTTATCCAAACATACCTACACATACATTTATTAGAACTACTTCGACTCGACAGCCGAAATTTAAAAAATGAAATCAGAATAGAGAGATAACAATAACGTAATTTCGTCTGTAACGAATATGAGATACACGTTAGAGATACAGAGTTTTTTTTTATAACAAAGATAAGCTGATATGAGAGATATATGGGGTCGTACGTCTTATTAAAATAACTTATCTGTTAGAAATATCTATATTTTCTTGAAACAAATTTATATAACAAGTTTTTCAAACAATACGAGTAGCTCTTGTCGTTTGCACGCGGTTTCTAATGTCTTTATCGCCATATTTCGCGTGGGATAGCTGAGGGAATTTTTCCCCGACACCAGGACAGGTCCTGGAGCGTGGCGATATGAGATGCAGCTCGCGATAAGAGGCTCGCGGGTGGAGTTTGCTGGGCGTAGCAGAGAGAAAAGGCCGGGCTTTTCTTGGGTCGTTCGCTTGCTCTGCACTTTACGGACATTTTATAGGAGCGTAACGCATGGCGGCATTGTGCCGCGCCGCCGCTCCACCGTCATAATGATTATAATTACCTGCGCTATCTTTAATGTTCTGGAAACGAATAATGTCAGTTGCTATTATAGCCGCTCGCCTGTAAAACCCGCCGCTGATCTTGATATCCCCACGTGAATTTCGCGAATAACGATCTTTTCATTTGCGATACGTGTACCTCGCTTTCAATGTTAATACCGCGCCGCTATAAGTTGCCAGTTTTTTTGTTTTGTCTCTCATCTCTCGGATCGAACGATAAGGATTACCGCTCTCGACTTCTTTGACATTTAAATGTACGAAACCGGAATGTGTACATCTTGCGATTTTGAAAACATTCAACGACACACTGCTTTGAAGAAATTTTAAGAGATAAAAAAACATCATATTTACAAATATAAATATTTCAATGTACATATTGTATTTAAATATGTATATTTTCTCGGAATATTATATATACAAATATATTTGTTTCAGATATTTGATGCTTTCGCGGTGTGTGTAGTATTAACATACAAAGATGTTTTTTCGGGTTTGAACCGCGTTAGTGTCATTTTTATACCGACGTTTCGTGATACTGTATCAGGCTGCTCTTTAAACCCTGATGAAGTGAGCTGTAATGTTCACGAAACGTCGGTATAAAAATGACACTAACGCGGTTCAAACCCGAAAAAACATCTTTGTATGTTAATATTTGTTTCAGATAAAATCTGATGTTTTTTTATCTCTTAAAATTTCTTCGAAGTAGCGTGTCGTTGAATGTTTTCAAAATCACAAGATGTACACATTCGGTTTTTCGCCGAAACAGGCCTTGACTTTTTTCTTCACAGAATTCTCTCGAAAGCTCGACAGAGTTACGTTTGAGAATCGTGAATTGATGAAAACCGCGGATAAAGAGACCGCGCGCGAGGACGTGCTCTTTTCTTCGTGCTCGGTGCCCGTGTTAGTCGATATCTTGATCAGAAGAAAAAGTTGAGGCGCGCATTACGTAAGGCTGCACCCGCTTCCGTTTCTCGCTCGTAAGGACGCACCCTTAGCTTTACGACCGGAAGTTGACCCCTTCGCTCGCACAATCGCGGGGGCGGATGCGACGCGACAGCGATCGCTCGCGCGAGGCTTTACACGGACCCACGGCCAATTATGTAATTAAGATAATAAGTCTCGGCGAGAGAGCGTGTAGGTCCAGCCTGCCCGCCAACGTTTGCCCCTCTTTTCCCTCTCCTTTTTTCCTCTCCCTTCTTTTTTCTCTTTTCTTCCTTGCGCCGAGCGAGTTGACTTGTGGCGAGCTGTAAGGAAATTCTACTTTATCACGATCCGTCTCGGGAGAGCGTGAGACATACATTTAAAAACGTGATAGTAAGCATACGCACATGCAAAGATTTTTGTATTTGATAGATTTTTTTTTGTGGCACACGCGTATTGCGTTTATGTGATTTTTTTAAATTTCCAATTTTACCTGATAACAAACTAATTACAGCTCGGCATGTAACTCTTACCTTCCTCTCTCCACATCAATTGATTTAACAATGTATTCTTCGTTGAAGTCGATACTTCGCATTCGCAAAGTTAATGAAGATCATCATCATTATCATCATCATCATCATCATCATTATCATCATCGTCGTCGTCGTCGTCGTCGTCGTCGTGAGCGCATCAACTCGCAATCGTTAAAGTAAAATCTCGCAGGGATCTCGTTGCTCGTTTTCGCGAACGAACGAATTGACAGTCCTGACAATCTGTTAAGAGGAAATAATTAAAATTTGAAGGAATGTTGCCCCCTCTTTTTGCTTCTCTCTCCTTCCGTTCATCAAACGCGACCATTACCCGGACATCCTCTCGGTATACACCTCAGTCTCTATAATCACGGCACCTCCGAGTCCGTTAGCGTTACTAAGCACGCGTACATCGATCATCGACAAAGTTGGCTCTCCACGAAAGTCGTCCGATCAACCGGCGCTCGTATCAGGAATTATTATTCACCGAGCCGTCAGTGGATGAGAGAAGGAGAGGGCGGGGCCGTGGCGCATGCATCATCGAGAGCAAATTCCGTTGCCCCGTCTTTATTTTACCTCACGGTAGTGGTGAGGTACACAAGGGCGGTGCGTAAGAGAAAGAGAGAGGGAGAAAAAGAGAGAGAGAGAGAGAGAAAGAGAGAAGAGCTGCTTCTCTCCGTGATCCTCACGTGGCCGCCGTCAGTCCGCTTAACTGTAGATCAATCAATATACCTCTCTTGAACCCTCAGCCTCGATGCTCCGTTCCCTCCCCTCTTGCCTTTTACTCCCGATCCTCTCCCTCCGGCTGCCCCTAACGAGCTCATCGCTCGTGTAGCCAAAGAAAAAACACGAGAAAGTGGTACAAAATGGCCCTTGAGAAATGCTGCTCCTCGCGTCCGTCTATCGCGAGACGCTCGCTTCTTTGTTTTGTTCTTCTTGTTTGTGTGATACGCGCGATACAAACTTCTCCAAACCAACTTTGTCCGAGGGTGACGGACAAAGGTGGGTGAGTGACAGGGGACTGTCGTGAGAATCGAACGTATCGCAAATTAACGGCGTGTAACTTCCTTCGATCTCTTTCCCTCTCGATCGATTAACGTCGATTAACGATCTGTCGCACGTGTGCCGAGTGGATTCAAGGGGGATTGCATGAGGGAATAATGGCACCTGCCACACCACCGCGCGCGCATTGAAAAACTCCTCGCTGCGCGTACACGACCCGTGCGCCGCAGCTGTACTGTTGTACGGGATCGTGCGTGTGCACATACGTTTTGTCGCCGTTCGTATCTCGTGCGCTCGGCATTTTTTTCCTGTGACAAGCGTTGACATTTACGTCTTCACATGGGCGCGTACCACCGGCGTATACTGACGTATCGCTTTTCATTTCTGCGATGACCGCAAATGAGCCACGCCACGAGAGAGAAAGAGAGAGAGAGAGAGAGAGAGAGAGAGAGAAAAAAAGTAATCTTTGTTAATTACGCATCAACGCGAGCTTAATTTCAAACGGATCAATTAACGGGATTCGAATTATCAGTTCGAACACAGACCAATTAATCGGTTTCTCTTGTAGCAAAAACCTTGGATTACATAAATATAAGTGAGTGTCTGATCGATGAGCCGTCGGTTATCGGCTTGAATTTGTATAATGCATGCGCTTCGGTTCTGTGTCGCTTTCGTTGGCGCTTTTGTAGTTCGCGCTAGGCGGAAAACTAGATAGGATGGACGGCAAGCGCGCGAGGCAAGCGAATTAATTATTATTCGCCCTTGGGGTGAGAGGCAGTGTTGCGAAACAACCGCGCGATTAGTTGAATGAAATTTATCGTTCGCGGCAAATGTAGTACGAGGAAAGACGAAGCGAGGCGAGGCGAGGCGAGGCGAGTTGCGAAGAGAGCGCGAAAAGAATCGGAAGAGGAACGGGTCGGTTTGCTTGTCGAATGAGCGTTTAAGGGATGTAGAAAGTGGCGGAGGAAAAGAGAGAAGTGAGGCCGCGCGCGCACATCGCAGGAGAAGAGAAAGCGCGGGTGGACGGGGCTCGTATTATAAAAGCAATTAGGAGGTCTCAGATTAGATATAGCACATCGTACATAACAAATATGATAATACGGGCCGCTAGCCCGAAGGAGGTTTGGCTTTCGTATGGCCGGCGCGGAGGGTTTCGGGTTATGAGGCAGGTTAAACGGAATCATTAATAATCGGAGCTAACTAATCTGCCTGTCGCTATGAGCACACTTGTTTCACTCCTGTTTTTATTACCACGCCGCGAGGTAACGTTTTATTCTCCCTATCAGGGGAACGAGAAACTCGCAATACAAAAGAGTGTATATACACCTTTTGTTGTTTTACACAAATCTTGTTTTTTTTGTTTTCTAAAATTATATTCGTCGCAGAGCTTAACAATCGTTTATTTATAAAGCGATTTTCGTATTTATAATTTTTCTTGTTTTTCTGGTTTCAGCTTTACGAGATTGACGACAATCCTGAACGGAAGATTTTTCTCGACAAACTCTTCAGCTTCATGCATCAGCGAGGTAAGTCCATTAGCGTTGAATGAGAAAAACAAGTAGATCCGTAATACACGTAGGAGAATATGTATTCGATAAACCGACGCGAACACGAAGAATCATTATACTTGCCACGATTTCTGCGAGAGCAGCGATCAAGTATATCGTTGCAAAGTTTGTACAAATATTGATCATTCCCATGGCGCGCGATCATTCAAGGACGACTTGTTCGCTCATGAGGATGTTCTTCGGCGAGTGTGTGTATCCCACCCACGAAATCCTCCCCACTCGATACTCGTCTACCTATTCCTTTAAATGTTCTCGGCTTAACCCGAAAGAACTAGCGAACGCGCACGTTGTTTCTTTTTTTATCTCTTGTTTGTTATTTTTATTCTTCTCTTTCTCGCGCATTTGTCATAAACCTTTTATCGTTGTCACGCGTCGGCTTGCATCTTCCGAGAAGTATACGCGGAACACTTTGAATCCGCGACTGCAAGTTGGAAAGAAGAAAAACGTCGCGTCATAAACAGCTGAGCGATTGCGAAGAGAGAGAGAGAGAGAGAGAGAGAGAGAGAAAGCGCGCGCGCGCACGCGCGAGTTCCTTTGGAAGAGGATCTCACATTTCGCAAAATTTGTTTTTATTTGCCGCTCGAACTCTCGTCGACCGTTGAAGCAAGATACACACGTGTGACTACGTACCGCGCGACCCGCATCTCGTTTCCTGCACACGTGGATCTTCGTCTTCGACTCTGTCTTCGTTCTCTGACCGAACGCGCGTCGTAAACGTCCACGTGGTTAAAAGGTTCGATAACACGTTGCATCTGCTCGGGCACCGACGAAATTAGAACCGACGAGCGAAGCGTAACAACGCCCGTGAAATCGCGCGTTTTCTCACGCGCGTGCTTCCGCGGCGGGATGAATAGCGCTGTCTTTCAACGCGCGCAAGCCGAGATTCGAACGAGATGATGCTGTAATTAGTATAGCGACACAAACGTTTCTCTATGCGCGCCTCAGAATATCGGCGTTATTCCGCCGCGTTTTTCTCTCTTCACAAATTTCAGAAAGGAGAAAGAGAAAGAGAGAGAGAGAGAGAGAGAGAGAGAGTTGATCCGCGGCGAATCGCAGCCCAAGCCGCTTCAGACGCGGTGAACCGGAAACGTCGGGACTTCTAATTATAAACATGGCGACTCGTCCATCAATCAAGACTGCCACCGATGCGTCAGCAGTGCTTCTGTTCTTTTCTGCTCTTTTTCTTTCTTCTGCTCTCCCCCCCCCCCGCCTCTTTCTTGTTTCTCCACAAAGCTCAGTGGCGCAACTTTGGGTCCGAGATGTGTGAGATGCTATTATTATGCTTGACATTTTTGTAACAATAATCAAAATATCCGCGTGTTACCTTCCAATCCCCGTTTCCCCGTCGAGCAGCTTACAACCGAGGTGCTAAATGATCGTTCGGTGATAATGCGTTGAATCTTTTTTTTTTGCACATCGTGAAAGTTCACCAGAATCCTCCTAAAATCAATCGAATTTGAGGATTTTAACTCACTAATAGTTTTTGAAGAGAGAAAGAGAGAGCGAGAGAAAGAGGAGATGATACGAGAACAGGTGTCGATTAAACGGAGATGAGCCCGTCGAAAAGATGCGCGACGTTACGGCAACAACGTGCACGCAGGCGCGCGCGTCGTTTGTTTCGCGGGTTATTATCTCTCGTGAATAGTAATAACGAGTCGAGGAGACCATAAATCCTCGGGGAGATCAATGCCGATTGATCTTTCGATTCGCTCGTAACGCGGCTCGATTAAAATCGCGCGCGGCGAAGAAAGAAAGACAAAAAAAAAAAAACAAAAAAGAACAAAAAAGAAACCCGAGAAGTATCGAAGCCAAGCGAGAGAAGAGCGCGTATCTCGATGTGTCTCGCGGGTAAGAGCTTCGGACGCGAGAACGTGGGGTCCAGGGAACGAAGGAGACTCGGAGGCCCCCGGGACCTACCGGGCCCTCCCGCGGGCTGCGTTATTGTGTGCCGACGCGCGGCTGTACCCCACGCATGCAATAATTCAACACTAACGCAACGTATAACACCTCACTACGTCCGTAGATATAAAAGACCATTCATCATATTCGGATATATTAGTCCAGCCACCACCAATTTGTGTTTGCTATCATCGCTCTCCCGGGTACGCGCGCTCGGCGTTTTAGATATACAAACGGCCGGACAAATTACCGGCGCGCAGCGTTAGCGGGTTACATTGCTTCTCTTTCCCTCACGGAGCGGCAGGTTTGTATTTTGTTTCGCATGCGCGAGAAAAGTGATATTTTTTCGCTCTCACATGTAATGTGAGATACTGTATAATTTTTTTACACAACAAATTGTTTCAGTGAGTTTCTACGCAGTTCCGTTAATCGGATTGAATTATTTGCATTTATGAGAGCCGCGAATATATAAACTCTCGTTGTCGTATGCGAGTTTCTAGTCCGGTCAAATTAGATCAAAAAATAATAGTGAAGCTACATAAATTCGGATCAAGCTGAAAATGAGTGAAATTGTTCAAAACATAATTAAAAACAAAATTTCAAAACTCCCCATCGTTCCGGTTTAGGGAAAAAAATTGACTCGAGGTCAAAGGTCAAAGAAATGAGTTTTTCGCGATTTTCTGCGAAACGGTAAGTTTTATCGCAAAATTACCTCAGACAAAAATTGTAGATTATAAAATTATCTACAAAAAGGGTATTAATAATTTTTTTCCTAAGTACGAACGTTTCTGAGATATAACGATGCAAAAACTTATAAGCGTATATACAGAGATGTATATACGTGGCATGCTTATGCATGTTATGACGCTTATAAGTTTTTGCATCGTTATATCTCAGAAACGTTCGTACTTAGGAAAAAAATTATTAATACCCTTTTTGTAGATAATTTTATAATCTACAATTTTTGTCTGAGGTAATTTTGCGATAAAACTTACCGTTTCGCAGAAAATCGCGAAAAACTCATTTCTTTGACCTTTGACCTCGAGTCAATTTTTTTTCCCTAAACCGGAACGATGGGGAGTTTTGAAATTTTGTTTTTAATTATGTTTTGAACAATTTCACTCATTTTCAGCTTGATCCGAATTTATGTAGCTTGGAATGTCTAAATTGACCGGACTATTCATCCGACTGATGTGAAGTAAAACAGGAGTTTAACTCCATAACGAAAACGGCACAAACAACAAATGGATCGCTTCACGATCCGAACACAAAGTGTCATCCCAATGTAGTCGAGACAGAAAGGTCACAAAAATAAATCAACGTATCGCAGAACTGTTCAAGCAAACGAGAATATCCATTCTATTATATACTTATATTCCAAGTTTTTTTTCTACATATCTTGTTTGTTAAAGTAAATGTGCATTGTTGTAAAACGGTATATAATGGACAAAATATTTATCGGTTATGGTCAGGGTTGGCAAAAGTCCGGTTTTTTTGGAAAA